GCCGCCGTGCCGTTTTTAAACGAACGTGGACCAGCCGGAGGAAATGGGCAATGCACCGACGCGATGTGTCCTGATCGTGTTTTACGCGGAGACGAATCGATCAGCCTCACTAGAGCGATAGCCTTGCGCTTTAATTAGCGGCGAACGCCGAGAACTCGTTCGCGATGTCTCAGATAAAATGCGAGCCGAAATCATAACTGATTTCGTTGCGCAATTGGGGAATTTGACCCGATTCGTCAATTTCGATGCACCGCGGATCACTTAATTTTCGGTAAATTATCGCCCTATAATTTAGTTAAGTAATCACGATGGATGATCATTTCGCGGGATTCATTTCCGAATGTACTACTCGCCCCTTTAATCGGCTAACTATCGATCTCATTTACGTGAATTTAAATTGATCGCCGTTAAATTACGTTTCTGTATAAAAGAGCGGAAATCCACGGTCCTAGTTTTTTCAACAGATTCACAATATAAACGTGGCTCGTCCGTTGAATGCATAAAATGTTCTGTCATCTGATATTCGTTATTATTCAACAGCCGCCGGGCACAACGAAGCGTAGAGGACACCGGTCTGATCGCGCGAACGCGATTATACAAATCGCGTACAAAAGTGATGAGCTACCTTTTGAATATTCCCGCGTGTCCTGAATTACGCCACGCGACTACTTAATTGGATATTTCCTTCTATACTTTTTAGCACGTAGCTATTTATTATTAGCATTATTCTTCCGACGTCTGATTTCTTTTTAATTATAGGAAATGCGTTTTTCGAAGGTACATAAACTTTTGGGATTGACTGTATAGCCAATACATCCTTAAGGAAAATTGAACAAAAATTAAATCGATACACTGGTTCCTCGCATAAATAAAATATTGATGAGATGAATTCTTTTTTATCTAGTATGCAGCTAAAATGAATATTGCTTATTTGCTCTTGCAGCATCTGGAACCATTTGGTCCAAATCACGAAGGATGGTAACAAAACGGTGATTATAACTACGCATTACATCGAGGAGGCTCGGCAAGCGCACACGGTATGTATACAGTAATTTACGTAACTGCGATATAATTGGTATGCGATTAAAAAGTATTCGGGACATCATTTCGTCACGTAGGGAATACAAATCGTCCATGGAAATAAATCCGATTACAATAATCTAAAACAGTGCAACAGACTTCCCTGGCGTTACACTTTTATAAATTTTTACAAAGAGTTCTGATAAATAATAAAATTGAATGAATTCGGTGCAGGGAAAGTATAAGCCTGTTTTAGCTTGGAAAACCCTTTGAAACCAAACTTCGTCAAATTTTTGTTAAACAAGGGACCGTATCCCGGTTATATAAGGGAATGACACTATTAGAAATTCAAAACGTTCAATTTTAACTACGATTAATATTTTTACATAATCTTTGCGACTCGAGAGTGTAAAAAATCCGGAAACAGAACACCGCGATTATACCGAGAAAAAAAGTTTTATCAAGGTCTGCCGGTAATAAACGTTTAGTCAGATGAAACGGAGAAGAATTACAAACACGTAATTAGTTTCATTGGTACAATCTGACATCGCGTGCGGCCGTTGAAATCTGTTTTTAAATTTGTAATCCATGGAAATGTTCATTTCTCGCAGATTGGTTTGATGAGAAGCGGTCGTTTATTAGCCGAGGAGTCGCCTAGGGCTCTCCTGACGATGTACAACTGCCCTTCCCTCGAGGACGTTTTCCTGAAACTCTCCCGGAAGCAGGGACAGTATGCTCAACCTCCCACAGAATTGAACATCTCGAATAACATAAGTTTGGTAAGAAGAATGAAATTTAAATTATTGTATATACGACAGATACCATCGCGATGATGATAAAATATGTCAGAATGCGCATCTGCATTTTTATAAAATTAATCAAATTTTTCTAACGACGTCTCGTTAAATAAAATCGTATTGATTTATTATACTACGACAAATCGAAGTAGATCATCAATTTGGATCTTGGCTTTTAGGCCTCTCTGAACTGGGGCAAGAAGAACGAACCGGTGTACGTGACGGAGGAGTCGGGTGTCGTGGGATTGAACTTCCACCAAAGCAAAGAAGTCCTCATTCACGACTCGACGAACGGTGTCGGGAACCACTACGATGTAAGACGCTGACAAGGTTTTAATACGTGAACAATCTCTCTCGAGCCAGTAACTTTCTCGAATACACGTGGTCTCGTGCACGTAGTTACGTGACGCTTCGTTTATAGCAGGCTTAAATTCTTTTTGTGGAACAGATGAACGGGAAGCCGCTGTCCGGAGTCAAGAATACCTCGACTCTGGAATGCGACGACTGCGGCGACTTCACGGATTGTTACAAGATAACTAACAGCGGAAAAATGAAGGCTCTCCTGCAGAAGAACTTCTTACGTATGTGGAGAAACGTTGGGTTAGTAGCCTCGTTTCTTCTTAAGTATAATTCTTCCGAGATATAAGGATTCTATGATTTTACAGAGTGATGTTGTTCATCTTCGCACTGCCGGTGATGCAGGTGATCCTCTTCTGTCTAGCCATCGGTAGGGATCCTACAGGATTGAAATTGGCCATCGTCAACCACGAGATGTTCTACGAGAATATGTCTTGTCCCGTTACCACGGACTGCACGTTCTCGCAACTCAGTTGTCGGTACCTCAATTTCTTGGACAACGACACGATGATAAAAGTGAGAATACTTGCATTTCAAGAATTAGTTAATTCTTTCCAAATTTCAGATGTTTAAAAAAATAATTTTCCCAGGTTTATTATCCCGATCCGACCACTGCGATGGACGCTGTGAGGAGGGGAGACGCTTGGGGGACTCTGTATTTTACTGAGAACTTCACGGATGCCCTTGTTGCGAGGATGGCCCTTGGAAGGGATGCTGACGACGAGACCTTGGACCAGAGCGAGATCAGGGTCTGGCTAGACATGTCCAGTGAGTTCTAATTCAATTCTATCATAAGCATCAGTCGAGCTCGTTGACGAGCCTCGATTTTTTGTATTTTAGATCAGCAAGTGGGCTTGATGCTAGCCAGGAATCTTCAGTATTCGTACAGGGACTTTGCCAAAGATCTTCTCACTTCCTGTAAGCAGAACTCGAAGCTAGCCGACGTTCCGATACAATTTAAGGATCCAATCTACGGTACTAACGAGCCCAGCTTCACAGATTTTGTCGCGCCAGGAGTAATCTTAACGTAAGTGCAAAATTAATTAATCAGATTCTCTAGAACGATGAAACCTCGTAGATTAAGATTTCTCAAGACGTTTTCTCTTTGTAATTATAGGATCGTATTCTTCTTGGCGGTGGCTCTTACATCTTCCGTTCTGATCATCGAGAGGATGGAGGGTCTTCTGGACAGGAGCTGGGTAGCTGGCGTTTCTCCAGGGGAGATCCTCTTCTCCCACGTTATCACCCAGTTTGTGGTGATGTGTGGTCAAACCGCATTGGTGCTCATCTTCATGATCCTGGTCTTCGGCGTCGAGTGCAAGGGCGACATCGGTTGGGTAATCGTGCTGACGATACTTCAGGGTCTCTGCGGCATGTGCTTCGGTAAGTCTTACCTTAATCAAGAGCCGTGATCAGTTTTTTTGAAACTCGATGCCCATTATTATTATTATTATTATTATTATTATTATTATGTAACAATAACTGGTTCAAAAAACTTTCCACGAGATAAATTGCCGATCGCAGGAGAGATTGATTCACATGTTCTTTTTTTTTTTTTTTGCAGGGTTTGTAATTTCAGCGATTTGCGAACTCGAGAGGAATGCGATTCAGCTGGCTCTGGGCAGTTTCTATCCAACGCTTCTGTTAAGCGGTACGTTACATAAATTCGGAGCTCGTACGTAATCAGCGATTCGGGTGGAAGACACGACCGACATGACGCAACGAGATGTTTTACCGTCTGTTATGCATCCCGTTATCGCTGTTCTTGTCACGGTGGAAACCACCGCGACACTTCCGTTAACGAATTCCTGCGCGGTGTAAGAAAAAAAAAAATCGCGCAAACTTTACCCGACAAATCATTGTGATTAACTGACAGCCGGTAAAAGTGAAAGTTATTCGCATTCCTAATTATGTTCCACTTAAAGATGCTCGGCGTCAGGCACGAGCCTTACAAAATCCTAACCAGGAATATTATTCTAATGGAAGTCGGACGAAATCAGTAGTAAAAAAAAAAATGCGAAGAATAAGCAGTAGATTACGGAGAACGCGTGTCAACTTTCGATTCTCCGACACTCCCGGCAATTCGTTGCGCAACTCATTGCTTATTCATCGGATTCGAAGAAGCTGTTTGTTTTCTCCCGGTTTTAATAATCAACGATGAATCTCATCTTAACGAATTATATAAAATGTATCGTCTTCTCAAAGAACCGTGTGTTCGTTATTATGAAATTTCAGGGGTGATTTGGCCGGTGGAGGGTATGCCGACGTTCCTCCGGTACATATCGCAAGGTCTGCCGTTGACGATGGCAACGACGTCGCTGCGTTCGATGCTGACCCGCGGCTGGACGATCTCGGAACCAGACGTGTACAACGGTTTCATCGCGACCATTATCTGGATCGTGCTCTTCCTGACGATCAGCATGATGGTGCTCAAGTTCAAGCGCGGATAGAACCTGACCGTGGCGTTGCCGTTCGGTTGCCACGTGAAAATGAAACAGCGGAGAGCTAAAGACGAATTGCCAGCACCGGTCGAACTGACGATCGTCGACGGGAGTTCGAGGCGGGACGAAAACGCTTCCGAAGATTCCTCGGGACGCGCGTGAACCTCCGGATTACACATGTGATGCCCCTTCTGTGCGCTTAAAAACGTCTCTTTGGTGACTGATGAAAGAGAGAGAACGAATGAATGAACTTGTGAGCGTGTCGTTTCTCTTCGATCTTCCTTCTGTTTCTTTTTTTTTTTTATTAATCTAGCCGAACGTTTGTAATATAACACGCGTTTTACCGCGGATCTGAGAAGTACGAAGCGTCTCGTACAATAATCGGGTGGAACGTCGTATGTACAGAGACAGGCTCGACGAGACGGTCTTTACTTTGGACTCTGATAAATTCAGCGTCCCAAATATTTTTTTATAAACGGGACTACGAGTGTAGAGAGCGGATAAGTTAAACGAATAACGAATTAGGATGTAGGACAGTGTTACTTGCCCATGACTTAAGTGTACGTTTTTATTTAATCTTAGGCGACGACACGTTTTAAAACCAGTAACGAGTAACGTGCTCGGGAGCCTTGTATAAAGGTAAAAGAAAATTTTCAAACGAGACAACTACCGGGAGGATATATTAATTCGGTGTTAATCAATAAGCTAGCGTGGAACGCGATTCTAGGATGCTGGAGGAGCGAATAATGTACCATATTGTAGCATACGAATCTAGCGATTACATTTTATACAATATCGATCTATCTCATTACTTAAACAACAAAAAAAGAGCGTTTAGCCTGTATAAAAGCTACGCAGCGTGGATGGATAGGATGGAATATGTAAAGAGAGAATCGAAAACGGTTCATGTGTTTCCGTTTTACTTCCTGTATAAAAAAGTGTCTTGAAAAAAAAAAAAATACAAAATATTTCGGACTTCTATCACGTACGTGCGTACACACACCTATGTGGCTCAGCTACGTTAACCGTCCCAGACAACAATTGCATAACAATGCGTTCCCTCGTAATCGTGAATTAAAATCAATCGAGTTACTTAATAGGAGTCAATCTGTACTTTTCTTCCTCGGCGAACCAGTCGTGGTTTTTCCTCACGGCACGTTTCCAGTACTCTGCAACCCAATTAATAATGACAATAATTAAATCACCTTATCGTGATTTAATAAAATGAAACATTACCGTCCTGTAAGTCGTGTTCATCGTACTCTATTCCGACCTTACGAAATTGTACAAAAAATAATCCGTATAAGAAATAAGAAATTTCCGAGCTTACGTTCGTACGAAGTCTGTCGGTTCTATGGTAGATTTTCGTTTTCGCGAATTACGTACCGCACAGGTCTTTGACAGTGCCGTCCGTGCCGCCGTACTCCTCCGGCAAGATGCTCACCGGCAACGCTTCGTACAGCTTCAGCTCCCCGCGCGCGTGCGTGTGCACCCTTTGCTTCAGCTTCGCGTTCATGAAACTCCTGAAGATGTTCAGCACCGCGTTTATAAAACGGTGCGCATTTATGAAGTCCAGCGAATAAATTCGCAATGGATAGCATCCCTGCCATGCGTGCACCAGGCTTTTGATCACTCTCGGCGGTAATTGGAGAACGTGCTCGTATGTCATACCGGCTATGTCCAAGATAGCCGTTATACCGTGAATCGTTACGGACTCGTGATCCCGTAACGCTAGATCCAAAGTCATCAGTGACGCCTAACGCGAGAAAGAGAGGTAAACATAGCCTACTGTTCGACGCAGGTTTACAATTTTCCAGTTACGAAACGCGGAATCTTCGTGTACGAGACACCTGGCTACGACTATTCATTCGATTCGCAAGTTGCAATTTACGTCTTCCGGTTACGTCGAACAGAGTTCTGTATTCGTACCTTGAGCATGTCTGACATTTTGTGCCGGCTCGGCGAATGGACAGCCGCGCGTATTATCACTACCATCCTGCCTTCGTCGTCCAATTGCCTCAACGGCAGAAACACCCTAAAAAAAAGCACGGTCTCGAAGCCTCGGTTCAAGTACTCTCAACGTTTCTTAATAGTTTGGTTTAATAATGGTTAAAATCGGTTTGACAAATCGTGGAAATACGTAAATGATGCGACTTCTGAACCGTATCTATCGAACACATGCGAAGTAAAAATTGCATTGCACATGCCATCGCGTTGAATTAAATATCGAACAGTTATCAATAACGGAGTCAGTGTTTATCCAACGCAGATACGGTTTATCAATGTCGAGCGCGATCTCGTGAAGACAAAGTACTAAACGTGACCGCGGAAACCACGAGTAACGATAAGACCGCTTTTTATCCAGCATTGTTTCGACTGTATTTAATTAATTACGTTAGTACGCGACACAGATAACACTCTTTGTGCTTACTAAGGCGTGAATAAAGAATATATATTTTTAAAATCGATACCCCAGATCGAACAGTTCCTGTAATTCTGGCAGGGAAGGGTTCCTGTTGCTGTACCACTCTGGCATGTTCGTTCTCTGCTTTTGATAGTTCCTTAACTTCGTTTTGACCTTCTCCACGTTGAACTTGCATGCCCTCAAGAAACGAAGGATGAAAAAGTCGTCTACGAAAATACAAGATCCTTCTTTCGTTAGGAGATTCTAGTTCACGGTGATCGAAGAAGATTCGAATGGGTACCAGTGGGTGCATGTAGTTCTTCGTTCTCTAATATCCACTGCCTGATCTCCTGAATTTTAATCGGTCGGATCTCGTCGGTTTCATTCAAATTAGCCGCCGCGTACGTCTTGTCTTCTGCTGATAATTGGCAAACGTATTCACCGGACGTCGACATGATACGTTCGCTACGTACGACGCACACTCAGTTCTCGCTCTGACTCGAAACGTATCGGTAAAAACAATCACTATTTTAAACTTTTATTCCTGCTTTCATTCAAGCTTGACGTAACGCGTATGATGTTAATGTTTGTAAGAAGGAACGCGGCTTCGCGATTCAACTCCGACGAGCGTCGGTACGGATCTAAACTGATCTATAAAGATCTACGGCGCAAGTACGGAATGAAACGGAGACATCTGACGGAGCGCACGGCTCTATTCAAATCTCTTATCAGCCCTACTCTTTCGCGGTACGTGATACGCATGTTTTACATCTGGGATATGAGTAATTAGTGAACTACGTAGAATTCTATGCAATTGTAACGAAGGTACAAAGTACATCCACAGTTTCAAATACTTATGTCATTATTTCTTCAAGTTTCAACTTTGAGACGAGTGTAAATAAATTCATTGGTAAAACAATCACTGTTTTATACTTTCATTCAACCTTGAAGTAATGTGTATGATTTTAATATTTATAACACGGTTATTTTTTTTATTATATTGAGAATAATATAATAATAAGAATTGGTTCTTTGTAATAACAAAGATTTTTATTATTTTCTATAAAATAACAACAATTACTTATTCTACTTACTAATCCTACCTGTAATAACAAAGAAACAACATTCAATGTTATTATTCACAAATTACTAATTTTATACAATTTTACAATTTTACACAATCTTTCTACGACTTTCTCTTTTCTAACGAATGTCAGTTAATCTAATTTAATTAGAGGCGCGTCAATCAATTTAGGCGCCAAATTCAATGTGCTCAAGGATACTTTTCTTACATATTTATAAGAAGGGACGCAGCTTCGCGATTGCGACAAGCGTCGGCACGTGGATTAAACAGACTCAACTATTATTAATGTTATTATAGCTATAATTGCCAGATACAAAAATAGTCCTATGCAATTTCCTTTCAACTACACTCGTTGAGAAATAATTAGGGAATTAGTAAATCCGAAGGGGGTAGTAAGTATTATGGCATATCACTACTCTTGTTTATAGTCATCTTCATGATCTGATTGGTATCGTTTCCAAAATCATTGAGATCGAGGATCATCCCTTCTTGGAACATTAATATAATGGGAACATAATCTTTGAACAATCCGCGAAAATCGATAAATGAGGTAGGGCTAATTATGCTTGGAGCCACCCCTTGAATGATCTTGCGCGAAGGTCGTTTGATCAACTGCACTGCACTGCTTCGCCAATAGATTGCGCCACCAGTCATTTAACTGCCAAGTCCGGGAACGCTCAAAAGTTCTTTAAAAAATGATTAAATCTTTTCAGAACATAATTTGATCCAATGAGTAAGTCTGTTTTTTTCTTCTTTTTTTTTAACTTCTACCTTTGGAAATATGTTCTATAAATCATTCAGTATTCCTCCACGATAATCCTTGTTGGAAATTCATATTGAGTCTCGTTCTGGATTTACTGGTTTACTGGACAGGTCATTAAATAAATAGACAGTGAAATGTATATTTAATAAAGCACTTACTTAAGCATTAAAATCGGTTGCATGGAACAGAAATTAGAAATGCAATTCTCATACAATTTTACATGAAACTGATTCACGTAGAGCGGAATCAGGTTTAATAGATGAGGGCAAAGATTAATTAGATTAATGAATGAAAGGATTCTAACGGGGATTGTTACGAACAGAAATTGATCCTTGACAGACTCAGCAGAAATGACACAGAGAAATTGAGCAGTAGGACAAAGTGAGGAACGGAATTGAGCCAAAGGGCCGAAACAGCTGTTACGGCAATCGGCAAAGCCTATAAAATTGCAAAGGCGGAATGAAGCGAAAACGCGAGCGCATGCGCGGTTCGCCAGTGCATTTTATGAATGGATGAGCAAAGTGAATGAACAGACGTCAGCTGGGTAGGTTCGGTACATACACACAGACACACACTGCCACACACGCCTTGGTACACATACGCCCACACAAGCAGAAATATCCTGACACATTATGAGTATCAGCAAAATATAGAGGGTGTTAAAAACGCGTGATCGCGTTCTAAAGAACGTTCCCCCTCCTTTTTATTTAGAATATCGGCGCTATAAATTCTGCGGTTGCGATATTATCACCGCGGACGTACTTATTTATATCGTATTAATAGGCTTAAAAAAAAATGAAACGGACGAGTGGCAGTGTTTTAAATTATACTTATACCACAACGACCCTGAATGAACGCCGCGACGGCGAGGATCGGGAACCGTTCCACGGTTCGATCTCCTTCGCGAGATGCACGCGCGTGACGCAAATGGTAGAAAGTCGGATAGTAATCGGCCTTTTTTTCGCTTTTCATTGAGCGGTGGCCGCATGAAACAGCGAGTTACGTCGCGTATGTACGTTCCCCGCCCACGAATCCACGATCCCGTTTCCCATGGGTGCATTGCGCAGCGTTGTAACATATTTTAATGAAACGTAAAGCATTCGGGCTATCGGCTCGGTATTAGGCGTCTTGCCTGAAACGTTTATCGAGTTCCACGTTCGAACGGTATAATATAATAACGTAGTCGAAGAGGATGGAGTCGTAAGCAGAAGGCTTGGCATCTACCGGGAACGAAGCTCGATTTTATCGAATATAAATAATCGTTCGAGCTGATCGTGATAAATTCCTTGCCGTGGCTTCACGTCGACGTCTTGCTCCGAACTTCGTAAGCTGTCGCGCGTGTGACAGGTGTTACCTAATCGCGTTCATTCGGAAACTAAGCATGAATCGCGTGAACGAAAGAATCCCGTTGACGGTAATTCACTTAAAAACCTAAAAGAAGAACGGGAACGACGAAACCGTGTAATCTCCTTTCCATCAACGGGGACGCAGGCTAATCTGATTATCATCCCTCCGCGAGTGAAGCGCGGAAATGGTGGGGAAACGGGAAATCAAAGGTTGCAACGACGCATAAAGGTAAGACCGACGACGGCACGGTAAAAATAACGTGCGGCGATTAACGTAATTCCTAAAATACCTACGACCAGCGTATAGAGACGACTATTTTTGTTGCGCCTTTGCAACCCTCTCCACGGTACGCTTACCCTACCTACTACCCGCTGGAAAAGGCGAACTTGCGTGTGTACAGACCTTTTAATAATCCCGTTTCGTGCAAACGCGATAAACGAATTGACCAACGGCCAATAGGAGAGTATCTTACACGCGCGAGTCTCGCACACACGAATTCGTAATTTATTATGAAATATAAAAAATAACTGGATCTCGTTGAAAGAGATGAAATCGTGATTTTCCATATGTATTAAATACCATGGCAGACATAACGTCACCCTCACCTGTTCGTTCATCGAAATGCAGGAAACAGTGTTATGAAGGGAGTCTGTATGCGATGCAGATGTTTGCTCGGTTTCACAGATAACTTTACCCCTCCGGATTACGCGGCGTCAGAGTCGTAAGCCGTAGGGTCGGTTTCTTCGGTGGTGGGGTTGGTGACGCGCGGAACGAGATGAGAAGGGGCGAGAGAGGGTCGTGAGGACGCTCTCCCCGGACTCGAGCGGTCAAGGGCAGTGGCGTCGCGTGACGTCATACGGCGCTGCAGTGACGCAATCAGTCGCCAGGGGCAACCCGCCGGCTGACGGTCGCCAGGCAACCCTGTTTTCGTCCCCCGTGCCTCTGCCTGCCTCTCTACCCCCTGCCGTGAACCGTACCTTCGTCAGCGCGCTCTCTGTCCTCTCTTGCACGTGCCGTTCCTCAATGAACTCCCCTCGCTCTCTCGCTCCACCGTGCCACCACCACCACCACAGCGCGGTCTCACTTTACCTCGGTTTTACGTTGACGTGACCCTAACCCCCGAGCGAGGTCTCCTTCGGATGCTGAACGTACGCGCGACCCGATCCAAGGATTCGTCCCGGCACTTCTTCCTCCACTCTATTCACGAGAGATCGTACGGTTCAAATGAGTCAAGCATTCGCGTCAACGGGGTTGGGAATTCATTTACGCGCACGTTGCGTGAATCGGCGATTCAGCTGGGAATTGAAATATAAATTAAACGCGAACGGTCGCGCCTATAAATGCGACTCGTTCTAAAAATGGAAATTAATTATATAAAACTCTCGACTGGATTATCGTTCCCTTTGCATATTGACGTTTACAAGAATTAATATTTGATATCTCTTTAGAATTAACGACCACATGTTCATTTCATCTCTCTCGGCGTTATTACGAAAACGCCTACGCGCGTTTGATTTCCATCGTACCAAAAGTACCAGTGAAAATACGAATGTCTCAATGAGATTAATTTTTCTGATACAAGGATAAAAAATTCCTTTGTCAGTGAAACACGCGGTCATAAATATGGTAGCAGGTCATCCGAATTGTTCCGATAATGTGGGTTGTATTACGAGGAACGTACCCCCTAATTCCTGCGGCGCACCGCTTTTCACCCCCGTGGCCAGCTTTCACGAATTGCGTCACCGGTTACTGGAGACGCGAAATTCGAGACCCTCCCCCGGCTCGTTATACGCCGCTCTTGCATCGATTTCGTCGGGTAACGTAAGAGCGGCGAAAAGCATAAGTCAAAGGTAAGTGCCAAGGATCCAGAAAGGGTAGGAGGTGGCGAGCAACGAAACGCTTTTCACCCCCGGCTTTTTATATCCCTCGCACCACTTAAAACGTACTCTCTGATCAATGCTGCCTCTTCTTTTATACACCGCGTACTATTCTTTGATAAGAGACTCTAACCCACAATATAACGCATATGCTAAAATTAAAGTTTAATATCTGCCCACGTGAAAAGCGAAGAATTCAACAATGAAATAATCAAATATTCGTAAACCAATTTTCCGATAAAGTCCATCGATTGATTTTATCGTCAAAGAATTCTTTCCCTCGTCCCAATTTTTATCGACGTTCCACCCCCCCGGCGAGGAATTCGTACCTCGCCTCTTTGTGCATTCGTAACCGAGTCTGAAAAGTTTCCGAGTGATCTCCGCGTGCATACACGCATACTTACGTGCATACGTATTCGTCGGCGGACACCTACGTGCACGTATCTATGGAGCGTTCGCCACGAGCGAAGCAGCAACAGGTTTAATCGCGTCGGGGTGTGGCTGGCCGGCCGGCTCTCCGCTCATTCGGCTGCTCTCCGGTTTTGATGCTGGTTTTATAAGATCGATGCGACACTCGGAATCGCTGCGGATGAAAGCGTCGCATCGTGGATGCGCCAGATCGCTCGTCCTCTCCTCGCGGAAGGGAAAATCCTGGCCTGGAAATTAGGAATAAAAACGGACACGTGTCGGTGGCTTTCTCGCTGATCGCGTCTCGCCGGAGAAAATCGATGTCCACTGTGAATTCGCCTTTGTGTCTCGTATCAGATTTATTTTGCCAGAAGAAATAAAACGAAAATAGAATTAATTTACAAACGATCAACGAATATCAAAGGACTGCCCCGAGGGGGATGAATCGGAAGTGGCATCACGGCGGGGAATCAAATTTCAGCAACACCTACGGTCGATCGGCGATCGTTGGTTTTTTAGTCGCGTCATCTCGCCCGGATCGGTCGGTCGCGCGACCCAACACGCATTTTTCTTCTTCGAGGGGCCCCAGCGCTTGCATATTCCACGGAGGAACTATATTTTACGGGCCGGTTCTTTTTGCTCCGCGGTGCACGCGCGCGTATACGCGGTCCTTATGTGTCGTGCCAGAGGAGCGCGTCGTCGTGCTTGTCAGTCGCGTTAGTGGGAGGGATGTCTGTAGCCGTGGAGAACGAGAACGAGAGGGAGCCGTTTAGGAGACAGGACGAGCGGGCAGAGAGAGACGGAAGGCGGCCAGCGTTCGAGCGCGAGGGAGCGAAACGGCGGGAACGAGAGAGAAAGCGAGGAGACAGAACCGTCGACGAAGACAGCGTCGTCGCGTGAAAGAGAGCAAAACAAAGGAGCGAAAACGGGACGGAGAACGCCGCGAGACGTGGAGCAACAAGAAGGGCCGGAGAAAAAGAACCGGCGTGGAAGAGGAAGAGTGGAGGAGCAAAGACGCTGGGGAAGGTGATAGGAGGAGGACGGAAGGTATCACGAAGTGCAGAGGAGGCCTCATCTCGATCTTGGTCCTATTTATAGACGTGCTCTCACAGCCTCACTCCTGCCCACTTCTTGCACTGTCTCTCCTATATAGGTGTGCATGTACACCTATGTGGTGGCCATTGCACGTTCTCCACACGCGAGGAGCCAGCGAGCCGGCCAAAACTGTTCGTCCGAGCTCGAGAATCGATGACGTGGACCGTCTCTCGTCCAGAATCCAGACGTTCCCGTTGGCCGTCTCCGACGTGGAAACTCAAGTATCCGCCGATTAAGTATCCGTTGATCACTCGATCACGGAAACGATGTCCTCTCCGGTTCGCAACCGGTAGCGCGAGACCGGCAGGCGTTTCTCGTTTCTCTTTCTCTCTCCGCATCACTGAATCATACGGATTACCTTTTTTGGTAGAGCCAACGCGGCGAGCCAACGAACGAGACAAATTTCTTATTTCGACGTTTTAGTACACCGGGGCAACATTCCTCTTTACGTTCTCGCAGATCTCGAGTCCCACGAAATAATAATCCGACGACCGTACGTACGATTGTTCTCCGTAATACCGGCTGGAGCTTTTGCGCCTGTACGGCTCGACGTATCTCGGTCGGCACGAACAAAGTTAAATTGGTTTAATGGCCGACCGATAAAGGGAGCCGACCGGGACGAGAGCGGGGACGATTAAAAAGAATCGGCACGTGCGACTCGTTGCTAATTGACGGTTGTTCGCGATTCGTATCGGCCGCGGGGGTAAAAATCGCGATAAGCTCAGAGCGCGGCGGGAAAAAGTGTGGATCGGCTCGCGTTTAGGCGCCGACCACCGCGTGTTTACGGTGAAAGGTTGCGCATAGGAAACACACGGCAGAGCCCGTGCGCGCTACATCGAGCCTCGCGGACCGGTCCTTATTAATCTTGGTGGCTGCCTTTTAAAACGCGCACACCAACGGGAGAGGAACAATGGTGTTCGATACGCGTAGGACGCGGTTCGTGCATCGACATCCTTGATCGTCAGTGCCCTATTCGGTAATTGTCGATGATCGATAAAGATGTCTGCGATGGCTGTACCCGATGAATGTGAACGCGTTCGAACAAGGGAAAAATAATGGTCCGAGTAATGACACTCGGGGAAAATCGTTCGACGTGATAAACGACACTATCGCGCACCATTATGCCCGCGAACGGATTACAAATACGCGTCGCGTCACGATTTATAGGTTCTACACCTTTCGCGCGATCGCCAGTCGTGATAAACTTTTGAATATACTTAAACGTTTGGAACATCGTCGAAAAACGAAACGAGCTTTCAGCTTTAACTCTGCCGTTAAAGGTGATGAAGCGGCGGACAGACCATTTCCACGACTCTACAAATCTGAAACATAAAATACTTTGAATTCGACTTGGGATCTTTAAAAGTAAATCGCAGTACGACGTGTCGTACCTCAGACGAGGGAAGGTTGAAGAAGAACGAGACTGGTGCTGTTCAATGTTAACTTTGTATTTTTGTTAATAATCGTCGTAGGGAACCGGCCAGATTAAAACGGCAACGATGATTACAACACAAACGTACAGGTAGTCGAGAGACGAATCGTTTCTTTTCTTTGCAAACTGTGCATTGCGCGCTCCGTAGGAGAGCACTCCATATTATTTTTTTTATAATGGTTTACACATAATTTATCCAGCTACATTGTCATCCGTAAAAAAGTGTCCTCTCTATTTTATTACTCACTTCTGACCCATCTTCGTTCTGCTCCTCGTTCACACTCTCTTCATCACACACTCATGCATCCTCATAATCACTCTCTCTCTCTCTGTAATTTTTTATATTTCACGCGTGTACTTTACACGCTCCTCTGCCTACATACTTTCCGACCTATCTAGAACAATAGCGGACGATATCGTAACCGTAGAGTAGGTACAGAGCGCGTAACGACGCTTAGGATCCGTAAGCTACAATTAATTATAACTGTTATTCGATATAATTAGAATATAATAATCAATAATAAAAATAATCCTTTAACTTTAACAATATATATATATATCTTCTTTTCGTGTATGTATATATATATATATATATAATTTATACATATATAATTTATATATATATAATAGAGATTTTGTATTTTGTTAATAAATAGAGCAACATATACATAATATTAATCGTCGCTAAATTGATAATTTTATACACGTAAACGATCCGAGGGGGCTAGGACGAGAGGAGAGGAGGGAAAGTAGGGCGGCAAGATTAAAAGAAGGAAAGTGAAAGATTTTACGTTTTACTTATATTCTCTCTCTCTCTCTCTCTCTCTCTCTCTCTCTCTCTCTCTCTCTCTCTCTGTCTTTCGTCAGCACGATTGCGATTAGACTCGTAAACCTATGTGTACATATGTATAACACTTTATGTACATATTTACAAAGGAGAACTCCCGTTTCAACAACGACGATGATTCGCGAATTTATTCATTTCACGATTTAACTCCGTGGGGTTTGCTGGCGGTGAAAGAGGTTCAGAAGCTAAGAGATTCTACGCGAGATGGACATAAATCTATACGAAGTAGAGACGCCGATTTGAACGAAAAATAACTTTCACTTTGGAGAAAAATGATTTTACGATTACATAATGTTTTAAGGATCGCCTACTCGTTTACGGGGATTCTTTATTAAAATACAATTTAATATGAACTTCTTATGCCAGTGAATCGGATGGACTTACACGTCTATACTTTCTTCTATCGACAGCAAAGATCACTTCTTATTTTTTTTTACTATCGGCGTCCCTAATGGCACGAGGAAAAAACACGGGAAAAATTCCGAGATTTAGCGTGTCCGGAACACGAAAGACGTATCGGGGACGAGGTAGAGGACGATAAGAAGCGATTAATTCGATTGTATGATTGAAAGACACGAGGTTCCAGGACGCAAAGTAGTTGTGTGTATGCGTGTACATACTGGTCGGTCGCGTGATCGTCGGGGGTTGCGTTGGCCCGCGCGACAGCCGATCGCGAAACGCGGACCCATTGATTTTGAGCGTGGTAATTTATAAAAATACTTAGAAAACACCGAGATGCGATACCTCGAAATCGATCGCCACAATTTTCATCGAAGCTTCGCGCGGACCACGACTGAAGGGGGGGGCGGTATTGGGAAGGATCGTCGAAGAATCGTCCGACCCGGTTTCGATCGGGAGGAAGCAGCCAGGCTGATCGTTTCAAAAAGCGTATACCTTATGTTTTTCCTTTTTTTCTGGCATGCTCGATTTGCATGCGTTCTCCGTCCCTTTCTCCGTCGGTGAATTCCACCCTGATTCCCGGAAGCTGCGGGCGGTATCGATTCTCTACGCTCGGAGAGCGCGAGAGAGACAGAGAGAGAAACAGCGGTAGGTTTCCGTGACACCGGGACATTTCGAGGCGGAGTACCGGAATCTACGCGCCGATTTTCGCATCTGCATCTCCGTTCCCGATCGCAAACAAGGGCATAAAACGCGACCGCCGTAAATAACCGTTTCTCTCTCCGAACGCACTTTCATGTCCCTTCCCGTCCAGTTGAAAACACCGCGAGCGTCGTTCGCCGAGGAAACGACCTAACAGTACCTCGGCGAGGCTGAGATTTTTCGCTCCGCGGCGAAACGTCCCAACCCTTTTTTCACCGCGGGCGAAAGGGTCATGTTAAAAACGGAAAAACGAGGCATCGCAATTTCGTCGATCATCCCCAGGTAAAAGAGATCAGTAGAACGATACTGCAACCCCCGATTAGACCGACGACACATACCGTTCGGGACAGAGGCTTTGAAAAATTATTTACAAGGATTCAACGAGATTCCTTACGTACTACTGTCCGAGTAAGCTCGGTATCACGCGTCGAAAAAATGCCGTCGCGAGGCCAACGCGATCCCCGTCGGTCGATCGGTTGGCGTTTGCCGACGACGATCGATGACGGATCAGTCGGTGACGGCAGCCAAGTGTGTTCCGCCTAAAGGTCTCCGTCGTTACCCTCGTCGCCTGGCAAATGGCTGACAGAGCTGTCGCAACGTTCTTGGAAAAGGAATGCGTTTGGACGTCGAACGTTAGCAATCCTACGACCATTTACTGATTACACGGCGAGGTGTGGCTCTGAGGGTGGTTCCTCGCCGAGGCATGGGTGGCCTCGCGTTTCAGCCTCTGTTTCAGGTGGACCTTCGCATGCCGCTTTTTCTCGTCGCTCCTGGCGAACTTACGACCGCACTGGTCGCAGCAGAACGGTTTCTCACCGGTATGCGTCCTCACGTGAGTAGTGAGATGATCGCTCCTGGAGAACGACCGCATACAGATGCGGCATTGGAACGGCTTCTGGCCGGTGTGAATGCGAATGTGTCGGGTGAGCTCGTCGCTCCGCGAGAACCTGCGATCGCAGCCGTCGACGGGGCAGGCGTACGGCCTCTCGTGCACCGGAGTCTTGCTCGGTCGATTAGGGTATTTCCTTGGTTTCACCGGGACCAGCCTCAGAGGCAGAGCGCTCTGCTGGTAAACTTGCGAGAGGATCTCGTGGCCCTTCGACGTGCTGGGGTTGTATTCCGCCAGCTGGACGCCCGCTGTACCGGCCGACGGTGGCCCTTGTTGCTGCTGTTGCTGCTGCTGTTGTTGCGGTTGCTGATTCGGTTGGGGTTGTTGTTGCTGCTGCTGTTGTACCGCTGGTCCGTAGCCGCTGGTCGGCTCTTGCTTCAGCGTCGTCTCTTGGTGGTGAGGGTGATGAGGGTGATGATGGGACAGGAGATTCGGATCGTAAGCGTCCTCGTGCGTCGTCAGCCACGCCGCTGCGGTGGTCGTAGGCGTCTCATGATAACCTGGTAGCGGGGGTGGCTTCGATTCGACGGGCAGGAGTTCGACGGTATCGCCACCGTACGGGGCTGAATGTAGGGTCGGGTGGAGGAACGGTTGACCTGCCAACGTCAGCGTAGGGGAGGCCAACGGTCCCCAAAGCTCCTGGTTCGTCTGCTGCTGTTGCTGCTGTTGTTGCTGCTGAGTTTGCAACGTGTTCAGCGGCGACGACTGCGTACAAGTGGTGGTGAACACCCCGTGGTAGGTCAGCTTCGGCACGTTGCAGATGTTGACGCTGGACGCGGGCGCCGAGGAGACAGAGGAGGTGGAATGGGGCGACGAGTAGAGGATCACTCCGCCCTGGAGCACGTTGCATCGGTCCGCGTCCTCTTGGGTCTGATGATGACGCGGCGGACTGGTCGATGGTGGAGCACCGGGCTGATCCTGAGACTCTTGATGGTGGTGGTGCCGGTGATCCCTGCCGGTGGAGGTGGCCGTCTCATCGTCCTCTGCGGTTGCCTCTTCGAGAGATAGGTCTTCGCCCGCCAGGCTGCCTACAAATCATCCATCAAGTTTCTCGATCAGTGTCTAAAGTCTACCTAGCGAAAGGCTGCGGCAGATCGGAGACGCTAGGCGAGTAGAAGAAATGAACGCAAGGCAGCGAACGAGTGCACTCGTGCATCCTAAAGCGAATCAACAGGAAGGACCGCGCGATACGGGGATGAGTTTATCTACGCGCCGCGCTATCTGTCGTCTGCATCCTGCCGTCCCGTTACTTCCTTCCTTCCTACGTACGCACAATCGTTTCCTACCGAAAAACAAGTCGGCGGACGAGTCCCAGAAGTGAGAGAAGCTCGCAGTCATCCGGTGTACGGGGAATTCGAACCGAGATCGAATTAGCTATTGCCGGGTATCACAAACATCTGTTCCGTGTTTTGTAACGAAATCGCGCGAGAATAGACCATCATCGGTCCCGAACGGTTCCCCATGACACCGGAAGGAACGAGTACCGACGAGAGAGGGGACGCGAGGTAAAAACGATGAAAATGAACTTTTGCTCGCTGTGGGCTCGCGTGAAAGTCGCGGAACAGACAACTACCGGCGTGGACGGAGGGTGGTTGTATCGGCTCCGGATGAACAGAGGGTGGGGGCTCTCGGAAGCATGAATGAACCGGCGGAGGGATGGTGGGAGGAAGAGTTGGAAGCGGAGGCGGTGGCCGAGGGTGGCGCGGGGAGGGTTTCTGAATGTCGGGGTCGTTGAGTATTGATCCGCGACAGCAGGCAGGTTCAATATTAGCGGTTTTCGCGAGAGAGCCAGCCCGACGAACGTCACGCACGCCGGCATCTCCGTGCACTTGGCCGCTGATACCCTAAAGACTGATCACTTTCGGGATCGGTTGCAGGGAAAGCTTTCGGAGGGGTGCCCGGCGCGGCTACGAGGGTAGCAGCAGCAGCAGGAGGAGTTGGCAGATATGCGGAAAGCGAAAGTCGAGGACGTTCGTGAAACGTAGCAAGTGCAAGGTCGACGGAGTTCGAGCCGCAGCCGATGCCACAACGTACTCTCTCTCTCTCTATCTAACTCTCTCTCTCACTCTCTCTCTCTCTCACTGTCCCGGTGGTTTATTCTCGAGCGAACAAGTTTCAAGTATGTTCGAGTAATTCTAATCTCGTCGAGGCTCGTACGCAAAAGGAGCTATTGCGCGTACTCGCGCGAACGAATGAAACCCGACGACGATCGAGCACGACAAATGAAATGGAACGAGAGGTTCGCGCGTTGCGTGTATCGACGATTAAAGGACTGTTGTTGATTGTAGGTACCTGAAATAGGAGGTGGCTCGACGAGCGCGGAGGGGCCGAAGAAGGACGGTAAATCGCTGCTGGTGGTAACCGGCGTGTTTAGGTCACCTGTTTTTTCCTTCTCGCTAGGTTCCTGAAGATCGTCCCTGCACTCCCTCGAGCAATCTTTCTCCTCGTTAACAGCCTGCAAGTGTCGTTTCCCATCGGTGATGTCGCTCGCCGGCGACGAGGCGTCGACGTGCCGATGATGCTGATGATGCTCGTCCAGCCGCGGATGCGGTTGATGATGATGATGATGATGCTGTCGGGCATGGTGTTCCGCGACGTCGACGTTGTTCTGATGCTGAGCTTGCAGCGGGACGCAAGGAGTCAGCGATAGGGTCGGTATCGTCTTGTTACAGCTGGTAGACGAGGTGCAAACGGTAGCGGCCGGCGACGACGTGCCGCCCACGCCGCACACGATCGAATTCGAGGATGTGGCCGTGTTGTACGGCAGACACGCGTCGAAGCTCAGTTGCACGGTTTGCAGATTGAAAGTGGCGTGTGGGTGATGATGATGGTGATGTCCCAGGGGTGGCGGCGACAAAAGAAACGGGCTGGTGGCCGCGTGAGGCTGCGAGCCCACCACTTCCATGCCGTCCATCGTCATCCTCTGGAGCTGATCGCCTCCCTGGTTAGCGACAACCTCCTCGGTACCGCACTGCGTGTCCTCGCCTGCGGTCGTATCGTTCAACGCTATAATTATGGTTAGAATGTTGTCCTTCCTCGGTTTCCCCGACACAGTTAAGCCTCTTTCTCTCTCCCACCGGTATACAAAGCTCTACGCGAGGGTTAGCCTTTCGTTCCGTCTTGTTTTCAGTCTTCGTCTTTGATCTGTTCACCGCGGGCGAGCGGGTGCAACCGAAGTGTGCGCGCGCGTTCAGAGAACGAAGCGCGTGGTCTCACGGCGACGAACTCCCGGTCTCGCGCGCGAGAATATCGGAAAACGTCAAGTCCGTAGCGAGATCGAGTCGTGATATCTGCCCCTTCTTCCCTTCTAGTATACAGTTCCAGTCACTGGGTTAGTAGTCAAGCGGACGTAGCACGCGCTCCCCCTTTTTTATCCGTCGCGCGGCACGCGCCGAGAGGCCTCTGCCTCTCTTTCTCGGCGAGGTGGTATACACACGAGGGAGCGGACGCCGCGCCGGGCGGCAAAAACCGTGTCTCGATCGCTCGCCTCTCTCTCCTTCCTTATCTCTTTCCCACTCCCTTTATACGTCCCTCGCTCCCTCTCTCACACCCTCGGGAGATCCCTCTCTCCTCCGAGAACGGGCGAGCGCGCGCGCCTGCGATCTGCGGCTGGAATATACACCACCGCGCCTCGCACAACCACCACCAACCACAAAAAGCACTATGTATGTATGTACCACCACCACCCGATCGTACACGGTTCACGGAAAATCCGATCTCGTCTCGATCCTCGATCCGATCGACGACAACGGAGTCAGCCGGTTCGTCTCCTTCGAACGCGCCCGCGCGACTATGCGGATCCGAGCCGGCGCGAAGGGATGAAACACGGAAGCTCCTCTTCTCCTTCTTTCTCTCTCTCTCTCTCACTCTCTGTCTGTCTCTCTACCAGAACGCGGTGGTGGCCACCCGGTTCTTCCGACGCTCAAAACGGAGGCAGCCGTCTGTCCGCGAGATATCGAGATCCCGATTCCTTCACTCCCGCGCGAGTGTCGTCGCGTAGGTGCGGACGCGCGCGACCGCGCGCCTATTTGTCGTTCCTCCGTCCCTTTCCTTCTCCTTCGGTTCTCTCTTCTCTTTCTTCTTCTGTATCCCGTTCCTCTCTCTCTCTCTTTCCTTCTCTGTATCTGCTCCGACGGGTTTATCGCGCGCTTCGGTCAAGGTATGCACCTCTCCGGCGAGTCGAGGTATGCGTGCGTGCGTGTGTCGGAGCGAGCAAAGCGGGATCGTCGGAGGACGCGCGATGCGTGGGGGTCGCGCACGAACTGAGCCGAGCGGCGGCGCGCCCCGTAGTTTTATGAATGGACCGCGGAGACTGTCCCATATTTGGAAGCGGCGAGTCGACCGCCAGCCAATCCCCGCTCTAAGGTCCCCTATCAACGCGCGGCTGTCTGAGTGACGCGGACGCGGCCGCCGGCGTACGTGTACGCGCACACACGCGACCAGATCCCCCACCGTCAGCGAGCCAACACGTCGTCACTGCGAGCAACCGCGAACAGGCATCTCCCCTACCCTTGTCGCGCTCCTACCTTCCCCTCGAGCCCCCACCCAGAACCACTCGCTGCGATCTCCCACCACCGCATAACTCGGTTCTCCAGTGACGTAGACACGTCCGCGTGACGTACGCGCCGCGAGCGCGCGATCTCCCGCTCGAGGGTTTCGAACGAATCGCGGAAATCAGAGAAAAGGGGGACTGCTGTTTCAGAAGAATATTTCCACTCCGGTCTTCGATCGGTCTTCAACTTCTGGCGTCACCGCGGACGAAGTTCTACGATTCTTTTTATTTCACTCGGAACGAACGTAACGACGTACGACGAGAATGACGACGCGGATCGTTGATGCAACACGAGCGGACAATGAAAAGATTTTAATCAATTTCTTTCTTCGTCGTGGAACCATGATGATCCAGAAGGACTGAAATTGATGCAGAGGACAGAACATCCCTAACTGTCCAACTACGAACAGTTAGTTATTTATAAAGGGCGCGTTTAATATTTTTGATAAGACCGGGAAGATTGCGACGTGCATGCGGAGAGGGAGGTAAAGTTTGTTGCGTCGTTGTTTGTCATCAAGTATTCTGATCTCTAGTGGATAATCTAGCGTGCACGGGGAGGGTATCACGCCGCGTCCGCCACCCCTCGTTCACTCTCGTTCTACGTAAGCTGCTGACGCGAACTTGGCGCCGGCGTACCGTCGCCTCTCTTACTGACAGACCGTCGCCGTTGTAACATTCGAGAGCTTATACCACCGTGCCGCGAAACGTTTATCGATCCGAGCGTCCGTCTCGCAAAAGCTACGTGCTCCTTCCACCCCCCGAGATTATTCTTAAAACCGACGTAGCGTTATAAAGACCCGGCATATTAGAATTTGTTACATTTTTATGTACAATTAACGATAAATACGACGGGCTGACACATGACTGATTATACTACTGAATTTTTATATTTGACCGACGTCTGATGTATGGCTGAGTAAAACTACTGGGTCTTCACTTTAGTTAATTGCAATAAATGTTCTCTGGTATTTGAAATAAGTTGAATGCACGTTTTCATGTATGTTTTTATGTACTTCTTATGACATTTATAATGGCAAAGTCAATACATAGTCTTAGCATGTTAACACATTTACAGTATTACATATATTTATTTATACGCATGGGACGAGTTTAAACAGCCAGTGTCTAAATTCTTGTCTTTGTAACAGCTTCGAGAACCTAATAAACGAAAGCTCGTGAAACAAAGTGGACTTATTTACTATCCTCCCACGATATCTCCTCGGGAGGGCGTTTAACGATTAGAACCGGAGCGTGAAGGGAAACGCAACAGGTGAGAGGGGAGATCATTTCTTGGATGGTCGCGCGCACATGTCGAATCTGTTCGAAAGGAAATATAATACAGGTGAACGGACCGGGCGAGGCAGCGAAGTTTCATGGCGGCGGAGTTTACCACCGCGAAGGAGCGATTTCCTGTGCGCGCCACGGCACCACCTGTGGAAGAGCGCGCGTGCCGTGTTCGACTGTACGCGCGCGCGTGTATATGCGTGCGCGAGGCACACGCGCGTCTGCGCACGCGCAAACGATCATTTCCTCGCGGGCGTCGAGCAACCACCTGATGCCCTATTTGGGGCCACGCACAGCCACGCGACCGTTCTCCGTCTCTTTTCCCTTCACACTTGCCCGCCTCCGTTTGTTCCTGTCTCCCTCCGTTCCCCGGTTCGTTTCCATTGCGATTTCCCCCCTTTTCTAAAGCCAAACTCCAATGACACGAGACAGCAGAGAGGCTTTCCTCCTTGAACGAAAACAATTGACGATCGGGAGAGGGTAACGTCGCAAACAGGATAAGTACTTCCGCGAGAAAAGGGATTGGATTCCTGCCGGTCCGCGTGACTAAAAAAGGCTGTTGAATTTAAGCACTGTCAATTGCGAGGTACTAAAAGACACATACCACGCCGTAGGAGGCGAGAGATCGGTGTAAAACGAGCTTGTTCCTCGATTTGGCTATCACTCCGGTGTTCCAACTTCGTCCTCTCTTATTTTTCGATCTTCTCTCATCGAATTTCTTTTCTTTCTCCACGCGGTACACGGTTCGTCTTTTCTGCTTTTTATAAATACGCGACTGGCAATGCTGGTACACGCGGCAAGTAGCCAGTCCGCTGATTTACACGAGATGAAGAGATTCGAGAGGGGTTGTTCATTGGAATTCTCCAATTTGTCAACCCGCTTTACCCACGTTGAACGCGTTCGGTGACATTATCCGTGTACGGATTTCTTGAAAATTCCGCGTTCCAAATTAATCGGTTGAATAGCTGCGGAGACAGGTTGCGCGATATTATAATGAGTCAGTGCCATATATAACTTTATCAAAAGCCGCTCGAGTGCGTTCAACCGATTGTGCCAGCGGTAGGTACTTACACACCTGTGGACAGTCTCGCATTTGCAATTGCCAATCCTTCTATCTAAATTTTCGATCTGTCCGGTTAAAACGTGAAGAGCCACGATCTCGTTTCACGTCTAGCAAACATATCTCTTATTAAAGTCCAAACACCGTTCATCTACGTCCGAGAAAACCGTCTCGGGTAGTTAAATATCGTGTCAATTGTGTTTCTCAGTAAATAAATTTCAAAACAATTTTACAAACTATTAAACTATGGTAAACTTGCCAAGAAACGATAAAGATTTGAGAGATCTCCTAATTTCACGTGTAAAATTCTAATAACGAATTGCGAAAATTGTGGGTGGACGAGTACGTGCATCAATCCCCAAAAGCGAAACGTGAATAATAATCGGCACGCAGTCGCGTGTGCCGGCAGCGGCGCAGCATTCTGGCACGAAAACAAAACGATTCTAAAATTACCGCCGACACTCGGTAAGGTGGTGGGCGCGGACTATTCGCGTCGCGACTCGACGCGATTTTGCGCGGGCGACCGGCTCTATTTCGGGCCGCCACGCAACCACCTGAGCCACCCAGCATCCCCGAATACCCGGGATGACTGAGCGGGATGAAGACTCCCGTGTATAAACGCGATGAGTCAGTCAACCGATCTAGACGACTTTTGGCAGCTCGTTACCAAATCTTTTTCGCGTTCAGCTTGTTTCGTCCAGAACCGTCAAAATCCGTTCGCGGAGCCAATTCTTGATTAACTAAAGCCGAAATAATACAACGTGTCCCAAATGTCGACGATGCGCGGGACGAGACGGACGTTTGTTGCTAAATAATTCGACGTCTCGTGGTAGATGAAACGAAATCTGCGACATTGAATCGACGAAACGTCTGCAACTTGTTATCCGCAGCTACGGGCCAGGTATTTCTAGCAGTGAATAAGTGTCGGTTTCGAAACGGGCGTTGCACGCACGAGTTCATGAATTGATGCGCCGCATTTTTGGCAACCCTCGGCGCGAATTCCGCGATCGCGGACACCCAACACCGCCAGATGGGCCTCCGGTACGATCGCCCCGACGACGGAATCAATTTGCATCGGCGCTCGTTAAAGCGGAACGACTCTTTATGGGAACGCGTTCACCGTGGAAAAACATCAAGGGCGACGCCTCGAGGAAATCGATTATCGTAATCGTTTTCCTCGGGGTCGTCGCCGATCAACGATGAATTAGAAAGACGTTAACGAGGCCTCGAGGAACCTTTTCTCGATTCGAGACGCTCGAGTATTGATTACTCAATGCCCGTCGTAATCGTACCGCGTGTCTGTAACCCACATCCGAGCAATCAGCTACGAGCCTGTTTTCGTTCTCGTGCGTGATGCTCGTTCGCGATTACTTTCAGGGGCGCATTCACACGATCCGAATTGTGAAACAGCCGTGGAGCTCTCGACAATTTCAATTCTTCACTGGCCGGGTACGTCTTCACGCGACGACGCCGCGTAGGAGAAAATTCACGACGTATCGAGTGAAGATTTTGTACGTTTCGCATGTTACGCTCGATATCAGCGAGGATCTCGGCCGACGTGATCGATAGCGGTGCTAATGGTCATGGCAGGGAACATCCTTTTAAGTCCGTTCCTGGAGCGGAGGTGAGTCACGGACGAGCCGCGCGAGTCTTTCGCACGTTTTTGCGCCGCGGTGATCGTCGATTAACGATCGTTTCCGGTCCGTGCAGGATTCCCTTCGTCGCGAGGCTTCCGGAAACCATTGCGCACTCGCGACTCCTTATTGCGACGTTATTGCATCTTGATTGTCCTTTTCCTTCGCCGATCTTTCCGTTCCCTTTCGTTTATGGCAACCGATAAACACGCGCGTTGATAACAATAACGATGACTTCATCTCGTGCCAGACGATCTGATCGCCGACGGGTAGAAAAATAGAAGAATTACAGAAGAAAATGTTGTCTATTTCGTTGGACCGGCGCGACGTTAATTGTCAGATCTGGAAAGAGGTATTGACCAATCTCCAGTTCCATCGACGTAACACCGGTTGCAAGGTCACGGCGTTAAAAGGGGGAAGAGGAGGAAGACGTAGGCACTTTAGACGATCAAACAAAACGCAGGCGATTCGAGGGCCCTCGTAAAATCGTTGCCCGCGGCCCGTTATCCATCAGCCGGTTTCGGGGCGAGGATCGAGATTTTCGTCTTAATCGCCGGTCCATTAAGGAAATTACCTGTGCCGCGCGTCGTGTACGACGTGTGGAAACGAGGAATCGACAGGCTTTTTATCCCGGTACGGGTGTCGGAGCACGCGAGGAGGAAGCGCGCGTTCCACTCGCGGCCGCGTCTATTTACAGGAAATAGGTCACCGAGACCGGCTTCCAAGTACGTACCCCGGTCCGTTTCGTTTTCCAAGGTGGAAAAGCCTCGCGGCACGAGAAAATCTCTGCGATTAACTTAATAGTCGAACGGCTCGTTAATAACGGAGCGGAAACTTCAACGGGGACAAGTTTCATACGTAGTTTACGACGCGATATTAGCTCGAGACTGTGAGAAAGATTCTTCTTCTAAAGCGGTATCATATTCATCGTAACGCATCGCGCGTAAGAAAACATGATTATTCTCGTTTCATCAGAAAACGTCGTGTACAAATATTTCTATTTGAACAGAACTCATTGAATCGATTCACTCTCGAATCACAGCAAACGGCAATAGATTTTTATAAACCGTCGTTTTATTTATAAACGGATATACATAGCGCGTGCAACAATGGCACTGAACTACGATACGATACAAGTGGATACGGACCTTAAAACGGCACGCGGTTGATGTTTCCAAGGAGCCTGTAAATCCACCGTCGCGGAGGCGTGTAACGTGAATTTACCATCGCGCGGGATAATTTACATCGTACTTCCTCGTTTCCTCGAGCCCTTAATGCGTAATCTCGTTACAATGGCCCGCGTCGCTGGTACCAACTGTGACGGCCAATCGACGAGCTCGTTATCGCGATCTGTCGGTTTTTATTTCTTTTTGATGGCACAGCAAAGCCGGGCCAGCTTTTTGCCGTAATCGCGTTATGATCCGGCCGCTCGTGAAAATTGTTTATTACCCTAATTATCGCTGTGTGCCACGAACAGGGAAAGCAATGATTTATGAACATCGAAATTTGAGGAACGTGTAATCATTTTTTTTATTCTTTTAATTCGATTTTGCACGTCGTTGTAAAGTTTCGACGGATATTTCAGTTACGGGACACGACTATATCGGTGTAAATGATGCACGCGTTTAAAAAAGAAATTGTTACAAAGTTACTCTTCAAAGTGCAAGCCCACGCGATTATTACACTATCCTTTTTTATAATCGTGATTTTTTTTTCTTTTTTCGTTTGTCTCAACTAATAATAAACAATCGTGCGCGAAACAAAGTGCGATCACGTATTAATAAACCGCTCTGATAACGTCAATGTTTAAAAAAAGGGGGAGGAGAACCGGACTCGCCTAAAAATACGATCGTTCTAGGATACGTCGGATGAAAATACTTTTATGTAAAATACGGGTTTTAAAAATACGCCGAGTTTAAAATAGGGTAGTTGCGTGGAACGCCGATCGGAGGAGGGAGGAACGCGAATCTCCGAAACGCAGGGGTGCAATCATTAAGACGTTAAGTTTAAAAAATGCCTTCCAACATCGAAGGCGAAGATCATTTAATTCGAGGAGCAATAATCGGCGGTCATTTTCACGAGGATTCAACGCGTACAATTTAATGTGGACTGAACGACAAATGGAAAATCGTTAAGGATCCGAGTTACCTGTGGCTCGTTCCAGAAGGATAGATCAGCTCGATCGCGGCACAGATCCACGGTTCACCCCATTTGTACGATCGCGGGGTAACTCTGATGCGTCACGCGTTCTACTAGCCGGTCGGGCTCGCGTTTTCGGATGCACAGCATTAAATCGGCGAGGCGCGTACCGTCGCGTCGGTGGAATTCGACTGAGGATCTAACCGGCACACACAATCGCCCCGCGAGACTATTTCTGAACCGTGTCCTATCGATCTCTCTCGCTCTTTACCCGTTTTCCGTGCAGCGCCACGTGACGCCTTTTCGGTTGAAACACGGGAAACGTTTACCTCGACATTGCGGCCCCCTCGCCCGCAAATAGATCCCCCGTGAAAAATCTCTTTCCAAACTTCCTGGCTCAACCCTCGAGTCAGTTTCTTAACCCTTGGTGCAATTTAAAACTACCCTTAAAACTATGAGAGTAAATAAATTCCACTGTATCTGTCCTACAAAAGTTACAAAAGTTACCACGAAGTCTCTAATGTTTTTGAAACAAGAGGCTAAATTATCGATTAGGAACTCGCAACTTCCTAGTTTCACTTTCTATCCGAAATTACTTGAGATCAGTTAACGAGTGGTTTTATCGAACAAGAGAACGGGTTTCGGAGTGGCTAATAAAATCCAGCTTTACGTCACGCAAGTTGCTATCTTGGAAGAGGAGCGCAGTCCGTCAGCGAAATTCAACTGTGCACGTCACGCTAGAAACTATTTTCAAACGGTTCCTATTGATTCCTTTACGTGTAAACACGCTGCTGCTCATGGCTAATGTACATTGTTACAGAGAGCCATTAAACAAACTTCCTCCTGATATATTTCAAGATAATTGATTAAATATTCTCAGGGTAATAAATGAACCAGCTACAGGTTTTCTTATTTTCTCTCTAGTGTTAAAAAGGTTCTCCACCTCTGGCATGGAAATATGAAAAACTGAATGCGATACTTGAAAACAATTTGTGTAAAGTGATAAAAGTTCAACTGAGTAAATGTAATTGTGAGAAGGGTGCTAGACGAGATCCGAATCGATGAGGGTGCATCCGGAGAGTCAGCGTGGAACAGAGCGCGTATCTATTTCTGTACCCGGCTATCGATTCATCCCTTTCTCCGTTTACCCCCGCGTGGGCACGTCTCGTCCGTGCACTTGGACGTCAACGACGAATGTGTGTAACGCGTTGCTCTCTTATCGGTCGATGCTGACGTAGAACCGACTCGTGCCTCTATAAACCATTCATAGACGATAACGTCGAACCTACTTTGTCCAGGCTTATTTTTGTTCTTGCGTTTTACACTCCAACACCCCCCCCCGGCCCCCCGCCGCGGCGTCTACGATTAAAATCGACGATATCTGTCGGAACGGATTGCGCATTAAAAACTAGTCCGAGCTATTATTCGCCCTTCTGCATTTTTTAAAATTCACTCGCGTGATCCATCGAGCGTTTCTTGCGATGCTATTTGTTCTCATAACCTTCTATATGAATTATATCATAATCGATGTTTCGATGAGAAGAAAGAATTCCAATACAGATTCAAGACGGAGCGGAACGAGTTTTCTTTCTCCAAACAGTTTCATTTCAGAATTCCGGCGATGGATCGGAGAAAGGATCAGCGAGGGATCATTCCCAAAACTCGTCTCGCTTTGCATAACAATGCGTCTCGCGCGGAATCAGCGACGATCGGCTCGACCGTTTCCGAAGGGAATCGCATTTGATCCGGGCGTTTTCACCAATGCTGCCCGGGGTCCGTTCGTGTCGTTGACCGTTCGGCGCGAGGATTTTCGCGCGGCAAACGAGAAGTGTGCACGGGGGACGCGCTCGATGAAGTAAGCGCAAACACAGGGCCAGAGTGTACACACGTTGCCGCTGATTTATGTAATCCAACGGCTCCCTGTCGATCATCCCGCCTCACTACCGTTATTATCGAAAGTTAAGTACGCTCGAGTCGGGCACGGACGAAAGGTAAAAAAAAAAAAAAAAAACAGAAGGAGCCTCGTCCCGTAACCGTTTTATCGCGCGACCCTCGATTTTTAATTACTTCCAACATGTTGATTTAATCGCATGTCAAATTACTGTCTTCTGTTTGATCTGCCTGTTTTAAGTTTCGTCCTTTTTTTAATCGACTTGATTATATTTTGTTGACCAATGAATAAATCGTATCTTCATATTTCATTTCTACGTAGACACGCATAAAAAATTATATATTCAAATGAGAGTGTCTGACGGGCGCGTGGCGAAAAACTAACGCCTGTCGAAGGTCCGACACGGTTTTCAGCGAGAAAGAAGCTTTGCTTTACCTCTAAACCGACGGAAATTTACTCACGTTCGTGACTACCATGCTACGGCGTGTAATCCAGCGGGAAATCGTTAGCATTGTTTATTAAGACATCCGGTAACGAGCGACGACTTCGACGGTGGACGGGAGTGACGAATCGCGTTTGCCAGCTAAGTACCAACGCTTCTCCCGGAGAGTTTTACGCGAGGAGAATCGTGTTTCGTCGTTTCAATTGAGATTATTAACCGCTCGCCTCTCTTTTAGTCGCTACGTGCGATGATATTTAATCTTTCTGCCATCGACGTTTGAAGATTCGATCCGCGATCGAGGAACGATAATCGATGGTCCGCGATCTTGACGAGAGAATGAACGATCGCGGTTATGGTCACCTCGTGTTTGGGGAAATTTTTGTGATTCCGAGAAAGATCGACTCGTTTTAGATGTATGAAATGCTAAGTAAGCATCTTTTCCAGATTACGCGTTTACATTTGCATTTCCAACGACAGAGTCACTGAAATATCACGGGTCAGATTCATGAAATTCTCGTCTATACAACACGTACAACTGCGTCATGCTATCGGCATTCGGATATTATTTACGCGGGCGCATCCACGAGTTCAGTTCGAACAGGGAAATCGACCGGGAAAATAGCCGAGCTTATTCTAGCGGGATGATTCAGATTCAGATGTGACGACGTACGATCCAACGTCGGTGACGTGCCGCGTAATCGATGACGAAAACAATGTTCGCGTTTCGACAGCTGGCTCACCGCTAGATTCGCGAGCCAACCGATGACGGATCAGCGCTCGTCCGCGAATTCGTTCGCCAAAATCGTTGTTTCGAATTTTCTCACCGTGTTCCGGCTATAATTGGCTCGAAGATCGCCATTGGTTTCTGCGTAAACATCATCGGGACTAAGAATAAAATTGTGCGACATCGCGTTAGACGGAAAATCGTGCCCAACTCGAGTTCTAAGGCTGCCTGATGACTCACGCCGGCCGCAATAAATCTAATAACTTCTGAGTGGCCGATAAAAATCGTTCGCGCGAGTTCGATAACACGACCCACGAATTTTACGATCTCGTAACACGGTTCTACGCTCGATCATTGTCGTCATCGATGACGTCGAGATAGCCTTATCGGCACACGCATTGTTGTCACTTGCATTGAACGCGTTCTATGAAACTATTGAAACGCTACGTCACCGACACGCTACGAATCGTCGTCACAACCTTCGAGTACCGAAATCTTACGCGTTCTCGATTACGTAATCCCACTCCGGGAATTTTGCACGTCTTTCGCTCCTCGCGTTAAATTGCTTTGGTGAACGTTGCGTAAATCTTCTGGAACCGAGATATCTCGTAGGTGGCGAGCATGGAAATCGCGAGAACGTTACGTAAAGGGTCCCGGGAAATTTGGCAAGCCCGGCGTACGCTCGGGCCAAGCGTCGATCCTGAATGGTAATCAGGTGTTAAACGATTTGTTTCACTTTTATCGCGTCGCGCGGTCGTAAATGTTCCCTGAACAGTTCTGATTCATTTCGACGCGGAGATCTAGATTCTGTTTTTTAAGAGTTCATTGTCGGATATGTGGGTCACAGTAGACGAGGAATGCAGCTCGACAGACGGTCGACGATTTGCGGCTATGATGACTAGATGGCAAACGGACTGTGGGAGGCGACGCGAGATGGTATCGTTTCGATTAACAAAGAAGACGTGAAACGTTTGCCAAATTACCAGCAGTGTTTCATTCGAGTTTTCCAATAAAAATTTAAACGGTTTTCCTCGAATCTCCGTCCGAAAAATTCTGTTCGAGTCTTACAAAATCGGACGTCTGCAATTTGAAGGTGGAGACGCCTGGGGCGAATTACGATTTGCACGGGGTAAAGAAAGAGGTAAGACGCGGAGGGCGTATAAACACTTAGCATCGGGTAGAACGCCAATGAGCCGAACGGCCGAGAGAAGAAGGTGACTCGTTCCCTTTTACCCGCCCACCGTAGGTTCGCGCATGATGTACGATTTCCTGTCTTACGGGTCGTACAATAATAACGAAATGTCAGAAGTGTACGTATACGATTTACTCCGCGTTACCATACAAAGCCACGACACTTTAAACAATGATCTATGAAAGCTGGCACCGCGCTCGTCCCACCCTATCTAAGGGGAAAAAAGTCTGTTGGTACGCGATTGGCTACCTGCGAGCCGTCGCTGGGAAACTGTGAATGGCATCGACGGAATCGCGGCTCGAAAACTCCGGGAATTGAATCCTGAGAAAGAGAATGGCGATAACCTGACTGGCTACCGAGCCTTTGTTGTCTCCCTCGCGTTTGTTCCTCGCAATCTATGATTACTCCTCCGTACGGTATGAATGGTAAAACCTGAATGGAATCATTGGCAATACGGTTAAAGAGGCACCGGTGAATTCCAATGATTTACATAAATCTCGGGACGGACCGTGGGGACAGTTTAACGAACCGAAAATCGAGGTTGCTTGATTTTGACAGCCCCTCAACGCTGATTGTGTAATTAAAAGGGTAAACAGGGGTCGAAACGTAAACCGATGCCGAGACTCCGAGCGAACCACCTGTTGGAACCTCGCTGTTTCCAGTTCAACTCTTTCATCGTTTAAGCAAATACATAACTTTATCCCTTGAACTTCATTGTCACTCTTTCGATTCTGTATAAAAATTCTGGATAATGGAAAAATTGAACCACAGAAGTAACATTTGATTGAATTTATAGAAAAATTTCCAGGACCCAGCGACCTGTTTTTCAAAGTCCGAGTTAATCCCGGAGAAAAGATTCCCGCTTGTGTAGTATCATAAGCTCCGTGTAGGGACGAATAATTCCATTTATAGGCGAAGGATTGGTTAGGCGTGGTCCGACAACAACGATCCACCGTTCCTTCTAAACGTTTCCTCTCGGAGGGGGATCGGGCGTCTAATCTTTCTTTTCGTACGAATCCAGGCCAAAGGCGTCGACGCCCTCGGTTTACCAAACTATAAACTATATCCGAGTGCTTCTAAAGACGTTGTATTCACGCCCGACCCATCCTAGTTTTTTTCCCTCAAAATTATCAGTCCTTAAGGATGTATTGGCTATACAGTCGATCCCAAAAGTTTATGTACCTTAGAAAAACGCATTTCCTATAATTAAAAAGAAATCAGACATCGGAAGAATAATGCTAATAATAAATAGCTACGTGCTAAAAAGTATANCGGTTTGTGAGTTATTGGCCAAAAACGAAAATTTGGAAGAAATTGAAGGGGTACCCCTTGGAAAAATCTCGGAAAAATCGAAAATTTTTTGTTATTGTTTATTATTAGCAATGTTCTTCCGACGTCTGATTTCTTTTTAAAAAATGCGTTTCTAAAGTGCATAAACTTTTGGGATTGACAGTATAGCCAAGTATCTGACCTGTAGTAGCTGTATATATATATTTCTTTTTATAGAAAATATGGAATTTGTTCATATTTATTTGTGTGTTTCGGCAAATTTCGGTAAGAATTTCGCACGTGCAAACACTTGAATAAACGAGCAGCATCGAAGTTCTTTCTAGCCTGTCGAACAAATGTTCTCTAGATTCGTTCCACCTTATCCGCAGGACCTTTCGAGTTCCCGCGACACCGTGAGTGGAAATCAATCTTGACTTGACAGTAAATAATTAAACGAAGTTATGCATTACAAAGAACAGAGACGAAGCTCGAGGCTCGAACGACTGAAGAAGGATTTATCTCGTTTGGAAATTGAAAGGCAAATCAGATTCGCAGCCCTGTTTGGCATCGAGGCATTGTCTCAAAGATGCGCTCAGGGTCGGAACTCGTCTGGTTTCGCCAACGTTTTTACGCCACTGAGAATCGAGCCTCTTTCATTAATCGTCACGGTCGGATCCCTAATGACATTACGGCGCGTCGGAAGATCGAAGACCGCGTTGTCTGACCTCTTTTCTCCTACGTTTCGACCCCCGAACGTGTGCGCACCTCGACTGACACCACTATTTTCTATTCTACTTCTACCGTATTTTACCGAGTTCTAAATATATTACGAACCTCTTATTTAAAAAACGGTTTAACGATTCGTCGATCCTTGTCCATTAGCTTAATCTTAACTATTCCATTTTCCATAACGATAAGTCTTAAGCACCGGACGGTAGGAAAGATAGAACATGGAACGCGCGCTCGCCGCGTACCCATTGACGATTGTAAAATTAGAACACGTATATTCACACTTTGCAAACAATGGATCGGTGAGGCCGAAGGGTTAATCGCGTAATTAATCACCGGTTAACGTTATCGTTAACGTTATCTCCGTTCACTCAGAAACAATCTTAACACGTTCCAGTTAAACGAAAAAAAAAAATTAACAATCAACACGGTCGTTGATTGTCGTGTCTGTGATTCAAAACGATCTACGACTTTTATCCGGTTTAAACACTGGCCGAGGAAACTGAACCACGGGCCGACGATCTCCCCGGCTTCGATCCGACGGCAAGATCTCTCGGGCGGTGATAACGCTTATCCTTTCTTTTCTCTCCCGTCACCGGCAATGGAAAAGCGAAGCATTTTTGCGTAGACAGGCAAAGCTTGAACAGCATGCGAAGCGATCGATCCCTGCTGGAATCGCGTGGACGGTTCGAGGGTGCTGGCTCGTCGATAAACTGCGTTAGAATCGGTTTTATCAGTATCGCGGGCAAGATAAATGTTATGCGCGGACGTAGGCGTTGCTCGAGTCATAACGGAAAATATTTCTTAGATCGGCACCGTTCTCAATAATTTCAACGTCACATTAGCTCGTGCGAAAAATTTCGATAGGTGTCGGCGAGAATTTATAGCATCTTTTAGAGTACAAGCCCGTTATACGCGTCATAACGAAAAATATTTCCTAGATCGGCAACGTTCTCGATAATTTCGACATCGAACGCTGCGAGCGAACGAAAGGACTCGCGATAGGTGTCATAGAGAATTTATGGTATCTCTTAGAGCAAACACAATGTTAATCGCGACGGGAAGTTCACCGGACCGGCCGATTCGACGTTTCGTGGGCAAACGCGTTGACACCGGCGCGTACCGATATACCCTAAGGCCTCACATTCGAGTGGTGACAAGAAACTTAATAGCCGGTCTTGAAATACAGGTTTCGACGTGCCGCTCGTAAAGATCGATTATCACCGAGTGTTTAGATCGGCGCCAATACCGGTAGCCAGGCTCCCGTCCACCGAACCGATCCGAGAGTCTAAACGCGGCCAGAGAAAAACTGTCGGCGGTATACATCCTTGGTTGACGCGCGATCCATAAAGAAATTCGCTGGGACCGATAAGGGGAGCAGAACCGTATCGCGGACCAGAGCCAGCAAGACAGCTACGACAAATCACCCGGTACCCGGTTCTATCGACGCTAGCAGACACCTCTTGGAACCGTCCACGCGAGATTTGTTGCAGCCAGGGTTTGCAACATGCCGAAGATGTACGTTCCCCGTGTCTCGATCAAGCGACGATAAATAATCTCGGATAACCGAGAAATCCTAATTCCGAATAATGAAGAGAACGGACCGGGACACGTCGCGATCATCTTCGACTCGTTCGCACCCCGAAGTAAACATAATTTCGGTTACCTGAGGGCGGCGGTGGTGGATGATGATGGTGATGATGGTGATGGTATCCGAGCGCGGGTGGTGGCGGCGGGTAAACCGCTCCCCAGATGCAAGACGCAGCCGCGGCGGCCGTCACCTGTTGCTGATGGTGGTGATGGTGGTGCTGTTGCTGCTGCTGCTGCTGTTGTTGCTGTTGCTGTTGCTGTTGCTGCTGCTGCTGTTGCAGCAGCTGCTGAACCTGGGCGATGTCTACGAACTCCTGGAGCTCGGTGTCGGGTTCCGGGCCGGTCTCGCGTAGCCGGCCCTCCGACGACGAGGGCACAACCGCGAACGGGTTCCCGCTGTTGTGCTGCAAGTGGTCGAAACCCGCGAGCGGATTCGCGGGCTCGTAATTGCTGCGCCCGGTCGTGTGTTCGCGGCGCATCGCCAGTGCCAGCATCTTTTCAACCTGTCGCGCCGCCGGCCCTCGTCCCGGTGCCACGAGTCCACGTGCTCTCGCCCTCTGCCCGCACGCCGGCCGCCACCGAGCGTTGCTCTAGCTGCTGCCTTCCTCCCGTCGACAACGACGACCAAGAACGGCGCGATAACGAGGAGGACGCCGGACTATCGCACATGTCACGACGTCACCGACGACGCGAGCGTCACCGTCGCGTCCGGCACGATCCGTCAGTCCACGAAACTATGGTCGAAAACGGAACACTCAGTTTCTTCTAGGAAAATTGCGGCACTCGCGAGAGCGTAGCCGGTTTCCGCTCGAGGGTAATCGGCAAGGATGTTCGCGTCGTTCGAAACGAAAGATCCTCCTTTTTGTCGACGGGTAGAAAGCGCGACAACGGTGGATCAAATTTCTCCGAAGAAAGTGTCGGAGAAATCTTTCCGCGACGCAAAACTGTATCCCAAAAACAGACGCGCACTTTTCGGAAGCAGCTGTCCACCGTTCGTATTCTCGCGTGGAGATCCGCGGTCCAACTAACCTTCGAGTCGTTCGAAATCGCGAAATCCTCGGATGTCGACGGTTCTCTCGTAGTTCGCGCCCGATAAACCAACGTACCGGCGCGCGTGCTGCCCGGTATCGTATCACTGGAGGATCCTGCTCTTTCTCACTCTGTTCGTCCTCCTCTCCTCCTCTTCTTCCGAGTCGTGCCTCCCTTCCTCCGTCGTAGAGACCGGCCTGCCGTTGCCGCCACTCTCTCTCTCTCTCTCTCTTTTTTCTCTCTCTCTGTCTCTGTCTCTTTCTCTGTTCGCGGTACTCCCGGCGCGTTTTCCGGTCCGGACTTCCCTCCGGCTTCGTCTTCTTTTCTGTTCTCAGTTCTCTCTTCTGCCGAGGATATCGTCGCCGTTTCGTAAAGGTTTCGCGGAGCAGGCCGATGCGAAGGGGTTCGCGATGGTCCGCGGTAGACTAATAAAGAGAAGCTCGCGCGGGAAGTGGTCGGTCGCCTCGAGAGAGAGCGCTCGCGAGCGCGGAGAGAGCGCGCGAGGAGGCCGCTGCCGCGACGGTTGCTGTTGCTCCTGGTGATGTTGCTGCGGGTGGCGGTCCTCGCGACCGGCGAGACGAGATTCGTTGGCGTCACGTGTCGTCGACATCACCCCGTGCCCGTGCATACTCCCGATACTGTTCGCGATGCTCACCTATACGAGCCTCCCCTCCTGCGTTCATCGTCTCGAGACGCCCTGATCCTCTCCTCTCCGCGCTCATTCTTTCTCTCTTTCTGTCTCTCTCTCTCACTCTCTCTGCCGGTCTCACCACCGCTCCTTCGGAATCATCCGTCTCACCCGCGTGTCTCTCCACGATTTCCATTCATTCCTTTCCCCCGCCTTTGCTCCCGCCCCGCCGACGCCCCTCTTTCTTCGTTTCGACGGCACGCCGTGTTCTCCGTTTCGCTCCATCTGTTTCATCCGTCCCTCTCGGACCAACGATCCTCTCCTCGCGTGTTTCCTCAGTCTTTTTTCAAGCTCGTGTCCCCTGTCCTCTCTTCCTTCCTCGAACACCCCCGCGTCCCTCGTTCCTCGCGCGCGATGATTCCCTTCCTCGACGCGCGCTACGACGCCTCTCCTCTTCCCTCTTCCTCTTCGGAGGCTCGAACACCAACGCGCTGATCGCCGGTAACACTGCCAACGTTCGCCGGATGACGTCACCGGCGTGGGCGCACCCCCACGCCAAAGAGAGCGCGTCTCTCCTCTCTCGTTCGTTCTCTCTTCTCTTCTTTCTTTCTTCTCGTACCTCCGCGCCGCCGCCGCCGCCGCTTCTTCTTCTTCTTCTTCTTCTTCTTCTTCTTCTTCTCTTTTCGCGTTTCTCGTCCCGGTAACGCCGTGCACCACCTCGACTTCGTCTTCTCTCTTCTCTCGCTCGAAACACCTAGAGCACGCCCAGGCGACGTCTCGTGGCGAAATTTCGACGCCGGAAGTCGGAGGAAATTTTCGTGGACCGACTTGCGTGGCACGCGTCGCGACCTTGAAATTGGAGCGCCCACGGAGAGGGAGAACGCGGCGACGGCGGCGGCGTGGAGAACGACGGAAGGTTGAGGTCGATACTCTCCCGGGTTGGATGACTTTTACCGTAAACACACGCTGGTCCCCGCTTTCGTCCCTCCGATCCTTCTCGATACGAGAAAAGGATTCCCTCTCCCCGGGACATCTTCGGGTTCGCTGCTCGCCAAATGGTGTCACTCAGGAGCTCTTCACCTCCGAGGCTTTCGCAATTTTCCGTTACCTCCGATATACGTCGGCCTTCGACTCCTCCATCGTTTTCCCGATATTAAATTAGTAGATCAAAAGTTCCGGCTCCCGCTCCCGGTTTAATCCAATTTGTATTCCCGTATCGAGTATCGAGGGGACACCAGGTGTGTCCGTCCCGAATAAGAAAACTCGTTCCCCGTTGAATATAATAGCGTCGTCGTCGTCGTCGTTGTGTTTCGACACGAGCCGCGTGTAAGTATTATACTTACGTACTGCAGGGATAAATACATATCTCGTTGGCCGGCACGTAACATTAGGGGCACAAGTGGTTCGTTAAGTGCAGGTTTCGACGCGTGCCAGAAGCGCGTCACGCGTATTACAGTTTGAGCGACAGCGGGACGGTCCGTCCTCTCGTCCGGGTGGACGAAAGGAGAAACCGTAAAAAACGATTGTCCTTGGGGAAAGTCGTCTTTTTAATACGATTTCTCAGCCCTTCAGAGAAAATCCATGAACTGCGCGAAACGTTTAATAATCGGTTTCTTAATCTCGTCGAAGATCGAGCAAAGATTCTTTAAGTATTAACTAAGAGACTGGTCTCTGAAATCTTGCGAGGACTTTGTACGCGAAACGAGCGGCTTATTATGATTCAAATCGCGCGGAGAACATTGACTGAACGATAAAATCACCCGATGTAAATTAAGATTACGATAGCGATCGTCCTGCAGGATCTCGTAAACTCGGGATCCTATTCTTTAATTGATCCTATTAAATTTAGAACAGCGGAATCTTAGGCGAGCTAAGTTACGAGGTTGCGTTTACGAGCGTGGTAGCTGCAACTGTAAAAGCTAACGACGTCCTTCGCGCTAGCTGGGACAACGTTCGATACGTTTCGATCTTAATCTGTTCCGTCTCTCTCGCGCTCGTTCTGCGCCGCGACAATTTTATCATTACGCGATGCAGAATTGCAGCCGATGCGCCAAAGATAAGACCGGCCGATGATGTCCTCCAGCGAGCATAGAGGTATCGAAACAGGTCAGTCCAGTTTTTGCAATTACGTCAAAACGACTATCGCAACGCGCATACCCTCTAGCGAAAAAGGGTTACAACTTTGCAACTTCCCCCCCGATGGATTTTAGCGACGTCTGCCGCGGCGCGGAATAAAGATGCAAGCGCGAGGTCGCGAGTAACGACCGAGGGAGAGGAGGAGGAGGAGGTGGAGGAGGAGGAGGAAAGGGTTTCGGATAGAAATTCGAAGCGAACGGGCGGACGCGCCGTAGGTATCGGCGGCGGGGTGGGTCTCGGTCCGTCTCACCTGATCGATCGTTTAAAGAATCATAAATTTAACGATAATGATTTTCGCGAGTGGCGAGCAACACGGGATACCTGACACTACAATTTCTCGGTCTTCGATTACTCGCGGAGAAACCCTTTCCCCCGTTCCCCCTGCCCCTCTCCGGGGCCCGAGTTCTCCATTAACCGGTGTACCCTCCGGCGTTCGTACAATTTTCAAACGAACAAAAGACTCGGACACGGCGTTATTTCGGCCTTGCATCGGGAACGCGCTTAAGGTCCGCTTGACCCAGACGGACCGGCGTGTGCTGTTCAGAACGGCAGAAAGACAGACCGTTATATCTAAATTACATTTGCAATCCGGATAAAGAGAAGAAACCAAGTGAAACTCGATTTTGCAAAGTTGTCAGGCTTGAAACAGGGGAAGAACGAGCGATCGTTCCGTGGTCAGATGCGAACGCACCTTTAAACGGAGAACCGAGACTGAATTGAGGCGCGAACCGGAGCAAAAAGAATCGTACTGGGTCCCGTTTTTTCTCGGTCCCGATCTAATCGGTCTCCTTAAATCGGCGCGGGGAAGCGAAGAACGAGCAAAGAGGACGATGACGGTGATGGTGGCGACGACGATGAACCGTGGTGGTGGCTCGCGGCCACAGGCACACGCCATATCTGGCGAGACTATCCTACGCGGGCTCCTCACCTCGCCTCTCCTCGCTCGGCGAATCTCCCTCTCCTCCCGACCGAGCAAACACACCTTTTTAGCGGCATTACATTAATATCGTAATGGCACGGGGATCAAGCGAGCGAGTCCGCCTGCCCGAAGGCGCTCGCGCTCGCGCGCACCGCTCATCCTCCGCGAGAGGAGAGCGTCCTCCGCCTGTTTTCTTTTCTTGTTCTTCTTCGTCGCTCGAGCCTCCCCGCGGATACGCTAACTGTCTCGCGTCCGAGAGGATCATTTGTCTTCCTCAGGGAAGAACAACTGCGCATATCGCGGACTCCAGGGATTCTCCGTCGAACACCGAGTCTCGCATACGAACCACCCATGGTCCCATCTTCCACGAGAGATTCGTGTATTCGCCCGGGCGAGTTCATTTTTAACTCCGATCGCGAATTATGCGAAGTACATCAAACTGGAGATTAACCATTACGAGGACAATGGATAATCTTCTACTTGATGCTGCAATGTGCGCAGCGAACTGTTAATTTGATATGCGATGAAACTTCTGCGCTTTGCAGACATTTCGTTGAATATGTCCATACGTCGTCCGGGCGTACGATCGAATTTTTAGGATAAGGACAAAGGACCATAGGAAGATGTTTCTTACAGCGAGCTTCGCGGAGGGCACCTCGAGACGGCCCTGACGGGAGTATATCCGCTCTCTCGGAGAGACATAATTCGAAATTGTCGGATGGGTCAAAGGGCAGGGCCCGGCTACTTGAGCGAGTTGACTCTGCCGGTCACGGGGGTCACGTGCCACGGCTTCTTTACTTCTTCTGACGTTACCTCCTCGCTTCCTTCGGGTTTCCACCTCCCAGCTCGAGCGACCGGTCTCCGGGAGGCTCGTTATCGCTCGCCCGGCTCGTTATCACCGTCATTAGAAATCTCTTCATCGGGCATTCGAATCGAAGCGAGAACCGCTTATCTGAATCTTCGATCTTCTCGTTTTTCCCCTCAAACTTTGACGTCCGGTTTCGATTTCCCTCGACGATCTTATCGCCGGCCGGAATGAAGATGACGACTACCAAACGGTCGTACTTGAACGGCATACCTCACGCGGTCGACGAGGAATTAAAAAAAAAAAGATGAAACGCTCGGTCCTGCGAGCGGGCACGAAGTGACCTCATCGGATGTGGCTCTGATTCGCTCAATTCGTCCACGACGACGACGACGACGACGACGGTCCAGCGAGCTCGCGTGCGCGCGAGCGAGCGAGCGAGCGAGCGATCGTCCGTTCGCGCGTTGATATGCGCCAAGACACGGACGTGTCGCGCGGAAAGGAGCCTCTGCGCGCGCGATTGCTATCGTCTTTGCCTCATTATTCCATTATGATGGCATGTGGCGTGTGCCGTACCCCATTCGCCCTGATTGCCTTCTCTCCCCTCCTCGCTTTCCTGCACGCTCCGAAACGCTCTCTCCTCCTTTTCCTTCCACCTTCGTCCCTCTTCCTCGCGCACACCCACACGTAGACATCCGCGCGCCCGTGCACACGGTCTTTGTCCCTTAGCAGCGGATGCTGAGTGTGCACGCGTTTCATCCTCCTCGTCTTCGTTCCTTTCCCGAGCCCGAGCACGCGTGCACATCGCCGTGACGATGATGCGCGTGATATTACGCCGGCTAGCGAACGTGGATCCCCGATAGAGAAAGAGGGAACCCACTCGCCGCGATGGAAAAGAGAGAAAATCGAGGTGAAAAGGGGCGGCGGGGGCGGTGGCAAGGGAGACTCGGAGGCGAGGGGAGCGAAGGTGGATGCACGACGGGACAAGGTAGGGCAGAGACTCTCAAACGGTTTGGAACAGGTTCCAGGACCGTTGCTTATACCTCGCCCCGTCCGCCCGTGGTGGGTGGAGAACGAGTTACAGTACGCGCGCCGGCCACGGAAGACACCTGGTTTTTCGGTTAAGCGCGACTCCACCGCGGCAACATCGGACACGGACCCTGCACGGTTTTGAATATGGGCCGTGGCTCGATTCCGAACGCAGGAATATGCTCACCCGACCAGCACTTATTGAACGTTGTACAGCTAGTAACAACGAAATTGAGCCAGCTACGTGCATGTGTTAGTTTCCCCTAGGGGGACAAAATTCAAAACGAGTAATAAGTATACATCTTATTTTTTCGATGCTTGATCTGGCATCGGTACTGTTGGATTTTATTATAATTTTGACGCGTCAAAATAAAAAGAATTTTAATGTAGGTGCTGGTAATGTGCGTACGTTAACATTATTTTTATTTTGACGGGTCAAAATTATGTTAAAATCCAACAATATCAATTTGAGATCGAGCATCGAAAAAATAAGATGTTGAATTATTACTCGTTTTGAATTTTGACCTCCTAGGGGAAACTAACACATGCACGTAGCGTAACAATTTCGTTGTTACTAGCTGTACCAACTGTTTGGTGGGTCCTCGTATCAATCACTACGTAAAACGCTGCATCAATTATTTTAACGACTATTATAGAAACTTTTATCATGGCAAATGTACGATGCGATTGAGTTA